AATTTTTTAAAAACTTATTTTTTTAGAGAGAGCGAGAGCATGAGCAGGAGGGGCAGAGGGAGAGGGAGAGAGAATCTCAAGCAGAGTCCCTGCTGAGTGCGAGCCCGACACGGGGCTCGATCTCACCACCCTGAGATCATGACCTGAGCTGAAACCAAGAGTCAGATGCCTAACTGACTGTGCCACCCAGGCACCCCCAATTTTTAAAATTTTAAATTTAATTTTTTTGTAGTGAAAACTGTCTTTGTTGCTTTCTCCTCCTCTTATTTAGCTTAGTTTTGTTTTTTAACAAGGACACCAGAGTGAAAATCATCACAGGAACCAGGAGCGACTGGGGCCCCCTGACCCCTGCATCACTCCTGAACCCCCTGGCCCATCTGCATTGTTCTGGAGTCTGGAGGATGCCAGACTCCTTGGGGGGCTCCAGGGGCCGTTCCAGCTCCACGGAAGGGACAGTGTGCTCATTGTTGGGATCATACAGCAGGAAGAGTGCCTGGGGGACAGGAGCAGCTGGTCCTCACCATGTGGGGCAGAGGCTCACGGAAGGTTCTGCACAGGGTGAGTGGACAAGGACTGGTGTGGCCCCAGGATGCTCCCACGCAGGAGCCCTGCTGTCAGCTTTTGGGGTCCCTGGGCACCCTGTTGCAGCTGTCTGGAGGGGGGCATGGAGAGGGGGTGCCGGGGTGGTCTGGAGACAGGCCTCAGAGGAGCTGGCCTCTTGGTGACGAGGTCAGTCCCTCAGGCCACCCCCAAGATCAGACCCTGAGCTATGCAGGCCTGCTCTGCTGGCCGTGGGTGCTAGGCCTGTGGGGATCTCTGGGCACCTGTTCTCACCCATGGAAACCCCAGGAAGCCTAAGATCACACACGTGGAGAGTCCCTTGTGGGAACAAAGGGCAGGACCTAAAATAGGCTTCCTCTACCTCCACGGGAATTCCTGGCTGAGCCCTGGCCATGCACCCAGCATCATCCAGGCCTGTGAGGGCCAGTTTGGAAGCTTCCAGGTGAGCTCCAGCCCCGCCCAACCCAGACCAGGATGCCTGATCTCCCTGCCCTCCCATGGCCAGGACGTCAGCGGGGCAGCCGTGGGCACAGGTCACACACACTGACAGCCTTTGCAGGAGCCCCCACAGCCTCAGAGCCCCAGTGGGCATTGGATGAGGTCCCACCTGGCCCGGGGGTCACTCTCAGGTGGCTGCTAACACCCTCTTCCGGCCTGACAGGGTCACCCACAGCTCGATCCCGGGGGTGAGGGGGAGGTTCAGGCGCTTTTGGGCCCGAGAGCGTCCTCCAGACTGCGGTGGCCCCCAGCCCAGCTGGGGTCGGGGGCGGTCATGTGTAGCCAGAGTGGATCCCAGCCTGGTGCCAGGGCGCGAAGCAGGTTTGATGCTTGTGTCCTGGGACTGGGGAGAGACAGCCCCAGCCCAAGTCAGCCCTCATGCTGTCCTGTGTTTCTGCGGTGGCCCCAGGAATAGCAGGAGGGGCTCGGGGTCCCACAGCAGGCAACTGGAGAGAGTTCTGGGGCAAACGAAGCAGGGAGAGGGGGCCTGGCAGCTGGCGCTGTGACGCGCCTCACCTGGAGAGCAGGTTGGCCGGGGGCAGACGCCGGGCACCACCGCCCTGAAGCACGTTTGGGAAGCGACCGAGCACGAGTGTCCATCTAGGGGCTGGAGTTTGGGTCCTTTTTCCTTTTCTCCAGATATCAGGTGGGGGCTCCTGGCCGCCTGTAGCTCAGGCAGGCAGAGGCGGAGACAGCACCCGGGAGGCGGGGGCTCACGGACTTCACACCTTGGTGCCCTCCCTGGACAGCGGGCTCCCCGGGAGAGAGGCTGCACTCCGCCCTCTGCCGGGTCTGGAGCTGCTTTCCCAAAC